GCCTGCATGCAACAAATTGGATCGAGCGGGGGATTCGAGCGCAGGAGGCTGTACTGACGATCCCCACTTCTACCCGCATGCATAGTCCAGCCTGTGTTTACAGATAAGGGATGAAACACAGACTGCATCGAAAAATATCACCCCACAACATCTAAAAGATAATGGCAGTTTGCACCATAAAATATCACCTTACACATGATGCCTGTATACAGTCCTGTTGGTCTATTATTTGATCATGGGTCAGCCCTCGGGTCGATGATTCTGGAAGTCACTAGTGCTTTTGCTCTCTTTGATGCCTGTTGTTTTCTGTTGCACATTGAGCCCACTTCTTTACAGAAAGGCGAACGGTACAGAAAGGCTGTAGCGAAGAATATGAAGAAAGTGGCTGCCAACAGAGCGCATTCGGATCCAAATGGACATCGCGTTGTGTATGCGATCGGAGCATGTGCAATGGCGACTCGGCACTCATAGCTGCTGGCCTGGAGCCCTCATCCGGTACCATTACCGCAACTCCGATACCCGGCGCCCAATTGGCACTCCTCTCGTTCGTTTGTATTTTTATAGCTGCATCATGCTCGTTACTTATTATCAACACTATATGCGTTCATCTATTTTGTTAGTAACTCCACAATAATGGATAACTGCTTTCCCACAACTGACAATACATTCGACTGTGTCCCTTTCAACGGCTGGTCTATAGTGCCAAACAAACTTTCGTATTTTACATTTTTCAAAAATTTCCAAAACACTTAATAGGAACGGAATAATGCTGATAAAAACGACTAGTTACACAATACTAGAAAACAAAAGGATAGAGAAGACTGATCAATTTCAAGAGAATTCATCATTTTTGTCTACTCTGTTATAGTGTATAAACTCCCAGTGATCTCTTTTTTTAGATATGCTTGATTTTTTATGGGTTTCATGCATTTGTGGAGTATAAAGCATACTGTTTAGGGTTTGTGTGTGTGTGTATGCATGTATGTATGTATGCATGTATGTATGTATGTATGTATGTGATCGCATATTTTGATCTCAAGGCCTATAAAAACTATAAAGCCGAAACTTTGGCAACTTAGTTTATTCCTATGTGGAGGGACCATGGGCATAAAATGGAAGTTCTCATGTACGGGCAGTTCTCACGTGAAGTTTTTTTTTTTTTTTTGAAGAAAAGCGTTTTCGGAACCAGGCAAAGTAAAAGGCTACAACTTTATAAGGATGTTTCTAGCTCAAATGTGGTCTAAAAAATTTAAATTCAGCCTTCATGCATGCCCAGATGTTCCATATACATATATCAGAGTTAAGATTGGCATCGTGCCAAAACGGGAATTAAACTAAGCAGAAAACGGTAGTGAGATGTAATTTTAAGACTTGTTTACCGTCCACTGGTATGCTTGTGGAAGTGAACTAAGCCTTCGCGCCCTTCCGTATCAGACGTATCGGCACATAAAATCTGGCGCACACAATTTTGTGCCTTCGGAACTAAAGTAGCTAGAAAAGTGAAATTTTCTGAGCATGGCCGACGCCTGGACGTCTGGAAGAGTGGACATAACAAAAAACTCCATATTCCTTTTTTGTTTCTAACATACGAGTAAGTAAAATTTGATATAACTCTGCAACCAAAGCAGCTATTGTGCTTATCTTTGTTCATCTTTATATGGAAATCGTGAAAATAAAGACCCTATCCGTGAATTTGATGCGTGTGTTTCTTTAGCAACAATTATCATCCTTATAACTATAACTGCCTGCATTAGCAATAACAATCCCGCGGAAAATAGTGCAAAAAGCGCATCTTCGCAGCGATAATCGGTGCGAAGATGCGTTTTTAGGTTTTATGATCTTGATAACTAGGTTTTATGATCTTCTTCCCCCCCCCCCCCCCTGCCTCCCTTCCCCTTTCCCCCTGCCCCAAAACAATACCATGGGAAAAGGCAAAAAAATTTAAACAGAAAAAAAAAATCTTTTGGCAAAAAAGTAAGATACTGTGTATGTTCAGATGAACTCAATGATAACTTTAGCGACTGTGATAAATTCAACGATGATAAACTTGACTATGCCCTATAACTACCCCAACTACGAAATGCAATTTATGATTTGTAAGAAGAGGTGCGAGTTTTTAAAACAGTGAATAAATGAGCAGACGGGATGATGTAAGAGAGACGGAGAAATTCCCACAAAGTAAAAAATCCACATCGGCTGAATTAAATCTATGCCTAAAATCGATTGTTTGAGCTTCTAGGATGATTAATTTTCGCTTAATTTACGCGTGCGACGCACCAATTAAAGGAATAAACAGCAACGCGCACCAGGCTAGCCGGTACGATCATGCGTTTTGTGCAATTCTGCCCATCGAACGATTGCCTATTAATGATTATCACTGCTTTGTACTTTTGTCTATGCAAAAATAGATCAAACATTAGAAAATAGTTAAAAATTTCACGCACCGGCGCAAGAAAGCTGAATTCGAAACCTTGAAGAGTGAATATCCTTCCGTGATCCCCGAGTTAATAATTTACCCGCCAAAATTCTCATGAGACCATAGGTGATACTCAAGAGCGAGGGAACGCTGAATTTGAATAGGCAAGGTTGAGCGTGAGCAGGGGGTTAATACCGTAAAATTTCAGCTTCCTAGACCTCGTAGTTCCCATGGTAATGATTTACCCGCGAAAACTTTCACTAACCCGCAGGTGATGCCCGAGAGCGCGGGAACGTTGAATTTGAATGGGCAAGGTTGAGCGTGGGCAGAGGGTCATTACCCTAAAATTTCAGCCTCCCAGA